AATAGGGAATAGAGAAATCTTTTTCTTGAGTTTGGAGGCTTGAAAATTGAAGAATGAAGAATTGAAGATGATTCGTTGATTCAATTGGAGTCTCGGGGAGGAGGAGTGAAGGACTCTTCATCTAATCGTCTGCTCCTCTTCCTGGGTTTCCTCTTGAAAAGAAATTTTTTAATGGGTCAGTAGGTGTCTGGGCCTCTTTTGCGAGGCCCCTTGAAATCTGAGGCTCAAGGCAATGGCCTTGTTTGCCTTAGGCCAGGGCCGGCCCTGGATATTGAAATTGAAAATAATAAATCTCGAGCCCGACATTCTCCAGTTTGGTATAATTGTTGAAAGTATGAACAATGTACTTGCTCTCGATGTAATACTCTCTGCATAGTAATTTGAGTAAAATAATTGTTGAATTTCATAGCGATCCGAGGAAAATAATTCCTTCCTTCCATGGAACTGATTGCTTTGACCTATTGTAGTAGTTATCTCCCCCGATCTTCTCTATGCGTGCTACATTTGCGTCGGAATCATTTTTTTAAGGTTGGATTAGCACGAAATCCCCAGATTCAAATCCATACCAAGACAAACAATACAGATTCAATTATTCAAATCACCCATATATAAACATGTATTACAACACTAATTTGATAAAAAAGGAAAGAAAATTCCACTAAGAATTAAACATACCAAAGTCTCTTGTATACAACACGGAAAAATAACTAAAAGGGCTCATTCCCGTAACCACCACGAATCAACAACCCAAACAATAAAAGAGATACATATCTAGGACTCATACACGTTTGTAATGAGACTAGTCGATATATCAATAACCAAAATCAATACTCATTGCACGGCGACCTCATAACAACACTTCAATTCATGTTGCTTCCGTAACTTTTTTAAAGTTTTTTTTGGATTTGAGTGAAATTATTTACATAGTTGTCAAATCCGACCCGAACATTGACCCCGACAATGTAGCGGGTCAACAGTTCGACCGGTGACTAGGTGATTAGATCGGCGGGTCAGTTTCTGTCAAATATATTATTTACTATTTTTATTGAATAATAAAATTTTGACATTTTCTCCATAAACAAGTTAACCTCATGTTATTTAAACAACTATAGATTCATCTGTATATCAAAATTAAATAAATTCTATATCATATATAGTAAAATATGCATTTGAAACAATAAATCATATCAAACCCAAATTGAAGGGTTTTTCTAAAACCTGCGACTCACACGCAATCAAATATATCCCTGAACACAATGCTAAAGCATTAAGTTCTATACAATCTGCATATCAGCCAACTTTCAATAAATTTTTGAAGTTCTACAATTGCCAAATCAAGGTTCAATTAATGCATCTAACAGTCTACTATAACTACAAAATTCCAGAAGGTCATTTTGTATGTCTTGCAACAGAATAACACATAGAATCAACTATCAGGTCACAGGAATATCCTTAGTTTCAGATTTTTCATAAGTCATCCATCTTCCTCTGAATTTACCAATGCAATTTAGGGTGCGTTTGATTGCAATAGTGGAAAATGAGTGGAAAGAAAATATTTTACAGGGAAAACATTTGCCTGGAAAATGTTTTACTGAGAAAATGATTTCAAGTGTGTTTGATTGGTATAATTTTCCACCCGAAAATTTTTAAATTTTCTATTTGTTTGACTTTGTTTTACATGAAAAGTGTTTGTTAAAGTGATAATTTTTTCCACAATTGGTTATAAAATTTGTTTCCATTGTCAAAGACTAAAAAAAAATTGTTTCCTAAAAAATCATTTTTTTATCAAAGTTTAGTGTTTGTTTTAGAGGTGTCCAAAAGTCCCGAACCGAACTGGACCAAACCGAACCCGAACCGAACCGAGCGGTTCTTCATAAATTAAATACCCGAACGGGTACCCGAATCGAGAACCGATGGGTTTGGGTCGGGTCTCGGGTCTAGACCAAGAACCGAAGAACCGAACAAGAACCGAAACTAAATAATTTTTT